GTATTTATCTAATGTTTATTAATTTGTGTTCAGCTAATGTAACATAATCAGATGGTTTAGGACGGCACGTACATGATGAGGAAAGTATGTTAATGTGACCAGATATTAGGGTTAAGCTTCTGGCTGGGTTTAAGAGCTTAAACAACATTATTATCATTAATCTTTGCGTTTAATAGTAGTTAATGGTTAGGAATTGATTGCAAGGGTTTCTTTGATTGAAAATGTTGCTCCAGGACCAACAAAAGATGTTGAACTGCTTGTGATTTTAGTAAATAGTCTAAGTTACATGGTCATACAGTTGATCTGATTGTGCTTTATCCTTGATCTGATTCATAGAACAAGTTTGTCAATTTTCAGTCAGATTTGAAACTTTCCATGCATTTTTTTGCTTCATTTATAGATGTCGAGCTGTTGGATAGACGTTGCATTTAGTATCTGCAATCGACTAAATTTATTTGAGTGGAAAGCTATGCATGCAAACTTCTAGTCACCCAAACATATAGTTTAGTGATCCATGTGCTTCCATGCAATATGCGTAAAGCGGACTTCTGATTCATTTAAAAGAAATAAGCTGGAATTTACTTGTCAGTTTAATCTTTAATTACTGTTAATTGATTAAGAAAATAAAATGCATTCTTAAGTATCTACAAAGACAGTTTAGAAGCATAACAAATAGCACTAAATTGTCTTTAAAATGGTTCAGAATGTCTGAATGCAGTTATTTTATATGGTAATCATGTCTCACTATTAATTAAAAGCAGATCTAATCACACAAACTAACAAAATAAAGTGTTTTTTTTTTCTCAGGGTTTTTCCCTATACTTTCTACACTTATGTGCTTCTTCTATATACAGTACTTCCTCTCACGCATGTGATTATAGTGAACATGGCATATAAAACTTGCTCATTTTAGACTTTATATGCAAATTTTGGGTAGAAATTAAATATCATAACTATCATGTTATTAAGACATTATTGAGAGATACAGAGTGACAACTGATATTTATATGCATTTTATGAAAGTAGTCTGCTGTACTGTTATAAAGACCTCATTTATCATCAAAATGTCATCTTTTTGGGCATATAAATAACAAAATCTACACCAAATTACATCTTTTTGCTGTATGTTTGCAATTGCTTGTTTTGGGCTTGATATGCACATTGCCTGCAAGTTTTTTTAAATTTTTTTTATTTTATAGTCATTGTGCAGTGGACTTGAAAAACGTAGTATTGTAGTCGTCTGTTCATTCCCTGTTTCTGTATTCCGCACATGTACGTCTATGCTCTATAGAATTAGAATGCTGTCAAAGTCTATTAACTCACATGTAATTGTACCTTTAGGCCTCAAGAAATACCTTTTACATTAATGGGTGCTTTCGTCCACACAGCATTCTCTTTCTTGTACTGTGGAGCCCACAGGCACCGCTATTTTTACCAAAGTTTCAGCGGTGTGTGTTATTGTTTGTATAAGTTTAATTATATAATGATTTTCTCATTTATTGACTTATCACTGATTCACTTATTCAAATGTAGCATTAAAGAGTGAATTAAAGGAAGCAAGATTTGTTCCCGTGCACCACAGTGTCAGAGAGAGTCTATGAAAACTCATTTAATTTGATGCCAAAAGTAATTAAACACTTAAATCACACTTAAAATGCCTGAATGTCATTGCATTTGATGATTAAATATCATATCAAGTGTCATTTCTAGTAAAGAAGACGCTTTTCAGTCAAAAAAAGAACAAGATCACCAGATGATTGATGACATTGAGCAACAATGTTGAAGAAAAGCAAAGTTAGTGTAGATAAAAGATCCTGCAGGTTTTGTTAGATATTTTGTTATCTAATTCAATAACTTTCAGACATTTTTAAGTGTGCGATGATTAAATATCATATCAAGTGTCATTTCTAGTAAAGAAGATGCTTTTCAGTCAAAAAAGAACAAGATCACCAGATGATTGATGACATTGAGCAAAAATGTTGAAGAAAAGCAAAGTTAGTGTAGATAAAAGATCCTGCAGCTTTTGTTAGATATTTTGTTATCTAATTCAATAACTTTCAGACATTTTTAAGTGTGTATCAAGTGTCCGAATGCATTTAGGGCTGCTGTACTTCATATGATGAACATTTGTAAGCAAGGGACTATGTTGGTAAACTCAAGTTCAGCATGGAGGCTAAGTGGCTTTTACTTTGATACTCAGAGAGAGTCTTTGGTGTCTTACGTGTTGTGGTTGCTGATTTAAGTCTTTTCACATCAGCAATGGAATCTACCACTATAATTACACCATCTAAAGCTTTTTGACAAGATGCCCAGAAATAAAAATCTGCACAGTGCAATAAAACAAGAGCTGCACAGTAGTTTCCCGTTCCAGCGTGATTTTAAAGGAGGAGTCCTGACAGCTGAAGGACCCCGGTACGCTGCACTCGGGAATCCTGTCGCAGGACTAACTGGGGCAGAATGCTGGTAAAGTGGTTTTGAAAAACCGACGCTCAGTGCCTGTCGCACTAAAAAACAATGCTGAGGTTTTGGATTAGATCTTAGATGTATAACACAGTGGCTTGCAGTATTTTGCATCAAATAAGTTAGATTACCTACCAGATGCTATGCATGGTGAAAAGATGCAATATTGTTTTTCCTTATGAAGGAAAGGTTAGTGGTTACAAACCTGTTTTTTTTTTTTTTTGCCATGTATTATGTTAAACGAATAGTTCACCTAAAAAAGAAAATTTGCATAGAACGTCCTCACCCTCAGGTCATCCAAGATGTAGATGAGTTTGTTTCTTCATCGGATTCGGAGAAATTGAGCATTGCATTACTTGCTTGGTTCCCACTGCAGTGAATGGGTGCCGTCCGAATGAAAGTCTAAAAAGCTGATAAAAACATCAAAATTAATCAAAAGTAATCCACTTTGTTTCTTCATCGAATTCGGAGAAATGTAGCATTCCATCACTTGCTCACCAATGGATCCTCTGCAGTGAATGTGTGCCATCAGAATGTGATGGATTTGGATTTGTTTCTTACAAACACACAGCTTTTGTCTTCACAGGATGTTAACTGATGGACTGGAGTGGTGTGGATTACTTGTGGATTATTGTGATGTTTTTATCAGCTGTTTGGACTCTCATTCTGACGGCACCCATTCACTGCAGAGCATCCATTGATGAGCAAGTGATGCAATGCTACATTTCTCCAAATCTGATGAAGAAACAAACTCATCTGCATCTTGGATGACCTGAGGGTGAAGACATTTTCAGAAATGTTGAATTTTTCTCTCTCATTCTTACGACACCCATTTACTGCACTCATTACTACTCTGTACACTAAAAGTGCTAGTTTCTTAAAATGCCATTACATTATCCATAGACTGACAACACTGTTTAGACGATTTATCTGTAAATGTGTATGTATGGTACATTATCTACTTCATGAGGAAAATGAAGTATAGAATCTGCAACAATACTGCAGTTGCTCTCAGAGCGTATGAGAGTCACACTCGTGCTGATGTGCTTGAGTTAGAGGGCGTGCAAAACAAAGTATTTAGGTGAGGAAAAATAAGTGACAAGGCCTCTGCTGCACACTCAACTGACATCTTTAAAACATCAAGGCGATCTATAGAGGTTTTCACCTTGCGGTGTCTTTTTACTGAGACAGACATCTGAATGCAGTCATGAACACAAGCAAACTCCTACACTGGTTCCTCTACAAACACAAACTCAGTCTGCTGCTTCTGCTGCCCCCTTTATGAATCTGTCAATGTGGAAGCTTTTGTATTGTTAATTCTTTTGGTCCAAACCTGAATGCTGTTTTTCAGTGGAACACAAAAGAATAATTGAATGAATGAACACTATGGAAATATAATAAAAGTAACATGACTTGTTGACGATATAAAAGTCATATGTTAGTATACTTTTATGGTATAATATTAATATGGTCTACTGTTACGGTACTTTCTTGATGTTTTTCACATTCTTGAAGCTTAAAAGATTTGGCTACTTTAAAATGCCACAATAAAATTTACTTTAAAATTCCTTGTTTTCTAGTAAAAATATTCTAAATGTCAATAAATAAATAAATAAATAAATAAATAAAGCAATGAATGAATAGATAGATAGATAGATAGATAGATAGATAAGTACATAAAAAAAAATATTTCTTTGTTTTTTTTGCATAGAGATTAATCTAAAAATGTTTGTTTCATTTAAATTCATTAATTAATATAAAATAAATGTTATTTATTTATTTATTTATTTATACATTTATTTATTTTAAATTTATGTTGAAAATGTACCAAAAAATAGCACACTGTTATACTGTTGTATGGTTAGTTTTTGGATCATTATAGGAACATTTTGACTGAATCCCAGCTGGCATTAACCACAAGACTCAGTTATCTGTTCTTACAGTATGTGCGATTAGGATTAGTCTGTCCCAAATCTCAGTATGCTGAAGGTGTCTGGACTAGTGGATTTTTGAGGTACAAATCCATGCTTTTTGGTTTACTTTGAGCAATTACCCAAAACCCTATGCACTACAGAAGAGGAGTACAGTAGTTTGTGATGGTTATAATAAAAGTGGTTGCATGTACAGCAAATGCAATTTTATGATGTCCCAAAACCGACGTACTTGCACTTTCCCATCAGAGTGAAGTATGCATGTTTAATGCATAGTAAAAATGCATGATTTCGGGATGTGGATCACATTCATATTCATCATATTTTCCATTGAATCGGTCATGATGTAATATCTGGCTCTAGAAGCCGCTCTGCTCTAGAGTATTGATTTTCTAACACATTCACGGCCTTTTGTTTTCTCTGGCTTTTCTGATATTGATGGCCAGCAGGCCGGGTCTATATTTCAAGAGGTTTCAAAGGGCCACACGAGACATGGCTGCGTAAACCAAACATTTTTGCAGGGCTTTTATTTACTAGGGTTTGGAGAGAAATACAGGCTTCCGATTTGGGAAAACCTCAAGGTGAAAGTAAGTTAGTCTTCATGATTACCTGCACTCTTTTATGAAGGCTGGAAAGCAGTGTTGCGGTGGAGTATTTCCCAGCCGGTTTCCTTTCAAGCCGGTTTGTCTTGGCCAGCTGTGGCTGAGAATTGCATTTCAGGCGACGGTAATTCTTGCAGGCACCTTTTCAGAGCGTTGAAATTTGCCAGAGATCTGGAGACAGCAAAGGGACTTTTAATGAACAGCTTTTATTGATCAGTGGACAAAACAGCTGTTAATTACAGGAGAGCAGATGTTTAATTGGCACTATGAAATAGGGCCGTCATGTGCCAGTCTAACAGCCAATGACAAATGCAGCCGTTTTGATGGAGGCCGAGTCGGTTTGGGAATTGGCTTGCCAGATTGCTAAAAATCGGTTTATTTTGTAATGCTAAATTTACATGATTGTATGGTTTGCAGTTTATTTTGTTCTGGTATCCACCAAAATCTTTGACCCATTTTTAGTTTGAGAAGCACTGAATTAGAGCATTCTTGGAAATTATGGAGCCTTCTAACACAATTATATAAAATTAATTAATAATTTCTTAACTTTCTTATATTCATTTAGGTTAATTAATGTTCATTTACTGAATATTGTAATAAAAAATAAATACACACACACACACACACACACACACACAATACAATACAATACAATACAATCTTAATCTGTATCTGCAATTTTGTCTTGTAAAAATATTATATATAGTCATAAAACAAGATAAATATACTGAATTTGAGAAGTAAATTTCAGAGAATGCATCTTTACATTTATTTTGTCATTGACATTTTTTTCTAATTCACATGTATACAAGTTTTAAATTGGGTATTAAAAAGTTATTTTTAGTTAAACAGTAAAAAATAAATATATCTTGTTTTAAAATAGTTTAGATAGTTTACTGGAAAACAAGACAAAAATGCTGCTTTTTTAATTATTGAAATTGACATGTAATTTCCATAATATTTAACAATGAATATTAATATCATCTAATATTTGTTTATGGCAATACCCGCAGTAAGATTTAATCTTACAAATATGTAAAGTAAATATATCTTGTTTTAAAGATTTTTAGATATTTTACTGGAAAACAAGACAAAAAACTGCTTGGATTTTTTTATTTTTTATTATTATTTTATTCACACACACACACACGCATGCACGCACACACACACACACACACACACACACACACACACACACACACACACACACACACACACAGTCTTATTTAGATATTTTACAGCTTTTATTTTAGCATTCATTCATTCATTCATTCATTCATTCAAAAATGATGTGTAATTTCTATAATATTTAACACTGAATAGTAATATTTAGTTTTATGGTAATATAGTACCCAGTATGCTTTGTGTATGATAGAAGTTATGAGTAATTCCTAATGAAATTATAGGGACAGCTATTTAATTTAATTTAATTGTTAAAATTTTAATCAGTTCTGCATCCAGTTTTCTGCTTCAATTCAAATTCAGCAACTGAACTGCATTTACAAGACCTGAATGGAGCACAACTCTCGTCTCCTGTTTCCCATGCCACTTCCTCATTCTCTCACTTCCTCTGGTCTTTCATGTGGGTTTTATGACGCATCTAAACGAAGGCACTGAACGCCGCTAACGAGCCGCAGGTCTGGCAGAACATCCCAACCCCAGCAGGGGTTCTGCGGCCACATCTGGAGCGGCGGCGCTGTGATTTACGCCATCCCGTCTTTGCCTTTAATTTGTGATTGTCATTCATCTGTCTGCGGAGCTGACTCAGTGGGGATGAGTCTGTCTCTCTTGCACAGACCTTGCTCTTTATTTACTTTTGATGCCTCACACTCGCAGACCGCAGCTGAGAGGTCGATACCAGTGATTAAATGTAATCAAAATGGCACTCCAACGCTGCGTCGGTTCCTCTCGGACATCTGTAAACTCACAGAGATCTTGATGGGAACGCAAAGACCGCTTGAAGCTGGAACTGCCGCTTGTATTAATCTCACACAAGATTGATGAGAACAGCCAATATGCGATGCGTCATAAAAATTCATATTCATCCCAAACTCGCCTGGTTTGTTGCATAACGGCACAAACCCTACTGAGTGTTAATGGCCCGGAAGAATATTGGTTTTTAGACTTTTGTGCAACGCGTCAAGCGTATTGTACATCACTGCGCTGAAATTTATATCAACAATAAAGAGGAGATGATAGAATCACTCTTGAGGAGATTTGTGCCGAGCGTCGACTCCAAATGGAGCAAACTTCTTTAGACTTGATGTGTGATGAAGCGTGATCGAGTCGTTTTACTGATTTATGTACGACGTAATCGTCTGTTATGTGTGATTTTGTGGATGTATTTATTTAGTGCTGTGTGATTTGATCTTATTACTGTGACAGCAGAAGGGTGAATCCATCAAAACTGATGCGGACGTGATTCGAGCACAATCAGATTCATGCTTTTATCATGTCTATGCAGGCTAAGAAGGAAACATCACTGTGGTTTTTCACATTGTGTGATTTACATTAGCATTCAAAAGTTTGTTTTGAAATTAAAACTTGTATTAATCAAGGACACATTTAAAGTAAAGGCATTCATAATATTACAAAAGATTCTATTTAAAATAAATGATGTTCTTTTCAACTCATATAAGAATCCTGAAAAATCAAATGCATTACGGTGTCCACAAAAAATGTGAAGCAGCACAACTGTTTTCAACATTGATAATAATCAGAAATGTTTCTTGAGCAGCAAATCGGCATATTAGAATGATTTCTGAAGATCATGTGACACTGAAGACTGGAGTAATGATGCTGAAAATACAGCTTTGATCACAGGAATAAATTACATTTTACAATACATTTACATAGAAAACAGATATTTTAAATGGTAATAATATTTCAACATTTTTGCTGTATTTTTTATCAAATAAATGCAACCTTGGTGAGCAGAACATTTTAAACAGTACTGTGTTTATTTGGCTATAAGTATTAGATTGTACTGTCAATTAATCCGCCTGTTATACTGTATGTGAAGTTAATCCCTCACAATAACATCCAAATATAACAAAGGTTAAGTGAAAACTAGACAAAAATCAAGCATATATTGTTGGTAGGGTTATTTGAGATACTATTATAGTTTGTAAAAGTTTTAAATTGTGTTTCTATTTTTCTATTTTCTGTTTTCATTTGAATTTTAGTTAAAGTTTTATTTGTTGTTGTGTTTTTTTAATAATTTTTATTAGTTTATATTTATTTGAATATGTCTATATAGTTTTATGGTTTATTTTTATTTCAGTTTTAGTTTAAGCTATTTTTAGTACATCAAGATTAAATGAAAATGAGAAGATAAAAGTTTTTTTAATATATTTTTTTATTTGAAGATTTTTTTTTTATTTAAAGTAACAAAAATAGTTTATAAGGTTTTAGTTTGAATTAATAACCATAATAACCCTGGTGTCCGATTTTGCGCACTTTGAGAGGTAAAGTTGGATCACTTTTTAGTAAACTTACACCATATTATTCTAATTACTTTTTCAAACAATACTTTTCTATTTATTTATTTGCTAACCAATGCAGCTGATATACAGTATTTATGTGTTTAAGGTGCACAATCATTGTTCTATAAACTCTGTATGTTTTGTTTTCTGTATGCTGTGCATGCAAATTAAAAACAAAATCTGTTAGAAAAATTACTGGATAGATTAGGCAAGGCAAGGAAAGGTTGATTAGAATAGTTGAAGGTAGATTAGATTAATATTCACATCTGTGTCAACATCAGTTTATTTGACCCATTGCCTTTTATTCACGACATTCCTGTCGTTGCATCACATCTGTTTGCTTACTGATAAAACGCATGTTGCATTATGTATTTTAGAGTAAACATCAATCAAACAAGCTGCTTCTGTATTATCCATCTTCCATAACATTCGCAGATAAGCGAGGCTTCAGTGATGCTCCGAAATGAGTTTAAAAACGTCCACCGAGACACTTGGTGCACAGAAGTATGTTGCTAGTGCTGCGTTTCCCTACATGCTACTTCATCAGAGTTTTTACTCGTTTGTAGCGCAGCACAGCAACAGTAATGCAGTCAAGACGGCGTTTGTCTAATGCTTTTGTCAATTACACGATTTCAGCTTGTTCTTCTGACTGCGCACTAATGAAAATAATCTGTCAAGCTTTCATCCGAAAGGTTAGATTTGGGACTAACCCGAGGTGCTGTGGCTAAAATGATCTCAATTCTTCATTCTGCATTAGTATCTAATCTGAGCGAGGCCTCATTAGCCGCCTTGTGTTTACCCGCACGTTTCCAGAGGAATCAGAGGACATTAGGAGAGACGGTCCCTGTGCTAAGAGTAATTACCAGGCCTATAACACACACCTGTAATTCCTGTTGTCTGCTGCCAAGTGCTGCGTTGTGTATTCACATCACATCTCCTACACTCTGCCAGACTCGCCGTCGCAGCAGAAATATGCCAGGACTAAACTAGATCTGTTTAAAGTGCACCAGGACTAACGCCTGCGGCATTCGCCTCGGGGATCGTTTTAGAAGATACCAGACTTTCTTCGGTGGCGCTTTTCATGATCAGGGGACAGAACAGGATCTGTTTTTCTTCTCAATCAGAGCAAGGACGTGCATAACCTTCAGAAAATATCTGGAGGTCAGGCTGAATACTGGATGAACAGTTTTATTTTGCATTTATGTTATAAGAAGCTTTGCAGCCTCAGGTTTTCTAAACCTCTTACCTTTTTTCGTGAGATTGTGAGATTTTAATTTGTAACAGCAAACGTTAGAGAAAATTTTGAGAAACAAAATTCAGCAAATGAGTTCATTGTTCTATAAACATAATGTGTCTTGTTTGTTTGTTTATTTGTTGTGCATGAGAATTAAAAACAGAAACCCATTGCTTTTTATTCATTACAAGCATTTATGTTGCAATGTTTTTTGTGACACTGTAACCTACATTTTGGACATGCTTGAATACATTTGAAAACCCTGAATTGTGATATTTTTTTAATTGCTAGAATAGTTAACGGTTACTGATTGAGCCTAAACAACAACAACAACAAAACAGTTAATTTAGGCTCAGTTTAGGTCATTTACGCTAGTGTGGCTCCATATGTTGGGTGTACAGAAATTTGTTTTAATTTTAACAATTTTTCGTTCTTTCTTGTGATATTTTTGTTTCTAGAAATTGCTAAATCTTCTCATTTAGGCTCGCTTCTTTCACTGAAAAATATAAGGACACAGTTTAAGTAATTACTAGTTAGGGCTATGAAAGAACCTGATTATTAGATGACAATTAAATGTTTAGAGAAAGGCATGTATTATTTTAGGTCATGTTAATTGGACCTGCAGTAATGTGGCAGGTAAAACACGTTAAAAGCAGCATCTGTGGCAAACAGAAAACCACTTAGACTCTCACCTGAAACACAGCAGAAATGTGAAGTTGGTGTTTTTGTGAGAGTGAATTCTTCTTTAAAGCATGTGCGGTGTTTGATCTGTGAGGTCTGGATCTACTGTAGGTGGATGAACTAAAGTACGTGTCATTCCTGAGGGTAGATTTTCTGGATTTAAAAAGCTGGGCTTTTGTATTCGTTTGCATGTTATGCAAAAGTTGCCGTGTTCTGGTTTTACATAATCATGACATGAATTCAGATATAGACAAGGTCAGTAAGCAGCTATCATACTAAAGTCAGTGTGTGTTTTAAGTTTATAGGTGCATTTTTGACTTGTTTCATTTGACATTTAAAAGTACATTATGCCACAAATATTGTAAACAGAACTCAAAGCTATTGTTAATGGGAGAGGGAAAAAAGATAAGTTGTCAGTATTTTTTTTTTCTCCCTGTTGTTGCAATCCAGTATTTTCCAGGGGCCTGTACCATGATAGTGGCTGAACAAACTCAGGGTTACATGATTCGTTTTGAATTCACAAAACCAAACCAATCCAATCTGGCTTTGTTGGTAGTACCATGATGCTGACCATCAACGTTCTCTGTCAACTCAGGCTTTGATCCTGAGTTAATGAAGCGTGTGCACTTGAAAGCGTGATATCAGTAATGAACAGTTTAACTGTGATTCACTTCTCGCAGTTCACTGCCATAGATTAAAATATTGAAAAATATTAATTTAAATACATTTACACAGCAAGGTGGAAAGAGCTGTCAGTGAAAGAGGACAACTAAAAGAAAACATCTTGCCATATCAGTGCAAGTGAAACTTGTGAAGTTATTTTATATAGTTGATAATATACTGTATATATAGGTATAAAGATACTCAAAAATCTAAACTCAAATGTAGTCATGTTTAAAGCTTTATCCATTAATTCTAAAGCTTATTTGTATTCTATTATCTGTATACATTTATATTAATTTAAAATAAAAGATTAATCATTATTATTTTAATATGGCTTCTGTAATGGATTAAGGCTATAATAAATATATAAATCATATAATTATAATAAATAATCATCACTAAATGCCAGATGATTTTATCTTTAAAAATGTTTTACTATGTGGTGCCCTTTAATTTGGAGCAAGAGAAACTGGGGGAGTGGTTTTATTGCATCAGAGATGTGTCACTTTTCTTGAAGCTGATTGGTCAAATTTCAGTTTGCGATCTCTAAACTAGAACATAACCTGCCTCGCAGCAGGTTAGCTGTGGAGCTAAGTTACTATGGCGATGAACACTGCTAAAAGCCAAGCCACATTCATGGTACCTAAAACCCAGGATTGGTGAAAACTAAACTGAAACTTACTTGGCTAGCCAGCTAATCCGGCTTCATGGTACAGGCCCCAGGTTTCTCGTTGACAGCAGCATTAACCAAAGTTGCCTGGCAACATTGCTCAAAAAGTTACCCAAAAAAAAAAAAAACAAAACAAAACGTAAAAAGGTAATGCCAGGTTTCTTGTTTAATCACCATTCTAATTGTTTTGCAGTTCTGACCTTTTCAGAATTCAAAATTTGAGATGGAAATACAGAATTTTGAGAAAAAAATTATAATTGCGAGTTTATATCTTTATTTTTTTTCTTAAAATTGTGACTTTTTAAGAATTGTGATTTTTTTTTCTAATTGCAAGTTCAAACGTATTTTTTTTCTCAGAATTGTAAGTTATATATATCTCTCTCTCTCTCATCTCTCACACAAATTCGAGAGAAAAAAAAAAATCTCACAATTCTGGATTTTCTCAGAATTTCAACTTTTTTTCTCAGGTTTGTGAGTTTATGTATTACAATTCTTTCTTTCTTTCTTTCTTTCTTTCTTTCTTTCTTTCTTTCTTTCTTTCTTTCTTTCTTTCTTTCTTTCTTTCTTTCTTTCTTTCTTTCTTTCTTTCTTTCTTTCTTTCTTTCTTTCTTTCTTTCTTTCTTTCTTTCTTTCTTTCTTTCTTTCTTTCTTTCTTTCTTTCTTTCTTTCTTTCTTTCTTTCTTTCTTTCTTTCTTTCTTTCTTTCTTTCTTTCTTTCTTTCTTTCTTTCTTTCTCATAATTATGACATGATTTTGCTCAGAATTAAATTTCACAGTTAACTTTATTATTATTATTATTATTATTATTATTATTATTATTATTATTATTATTATTATTTATTCTGTTGTGGAAACAGGCTTCCATACAAATTTGAGAAACATTCTGACAAATGATAGATCTAGGGCTGGGTTTTGAAACTAATTTCACGATTTAATTCGATTCTAGTTCACAAGCTTGCGATTCAATTCTATTCCCAATTTGATTTGATTCGATTCAATATCAATTATTTTGGATATATATTTTAGTTACACATGCCAAATTTTCTCATGGAAAAAAAAAAATCTTAACTAATGCTGTAAAATATACATGATAGTCAGGTGGTAGCCTAGGCTACTACATTACTATACATTTAGTCATTTAGCAGACACTTTTATCCAAAGCGACTTACAAATGAGCACAATGGAAACAGATAGAATAGAAAAAGAATAGAGCAAGCTCGTGTTAGAGGTCTTTTTTGCTTTTGTTAATTGTATAATAAATGAAAAGAAAACAGATAGAATACAAAAAGATTAGAGAGTCATTCCACCAGGAGGGAACATTAATACTGCAATATTAATATTAATACTGCAATATTATAATAACTATAATATTGAAGGTTAAAACTGACAAATTTTTTAGGCTACACAACTGCTTAAATTACACTTAATGAGGTTTTTATAATAAAAGTCACAATTACATAATATTTTTACTTCAATTCGTTTTTTTAATATAAACATTTAAATGGTGGCTGTCATAAAAAATATATAAATTAAACATTGAAGAACAGTAAAAATTATAATTAATATATGATATGGTGCATATATTTAGCAAAATGCCCCTCTTTACAGTTTATTTTTCTATCCGACTAATGAGTTTATGGTCACCGAATATGTTTTTCTGAGGTAAATGTGACGTTACGTGACATTGTTTACAAGCCG